TATATATATATATATAAAACACTCTGCATATGTTTTTGACACTTTCAGATTAATATTCTCCCAAAACAGAGAACAATTCATTTCCTAGTAACTACCCAAGACGCTGCTCCCACTGCTTTTTGTGAAATCCCCAATAATGTAAAACCCTGAAGTGCTGGACACAGTGAGGGCTTTGGCTTTGGCATCCCTGTGATGAGAAGGTACTTGAAAGTTACAGCCTGCAAGAACCTTTAATGTGCCTCAGTCTAAGTGATTGTGTGAGGTGCTCAACAGGAAACTCCTTTATCTCTAACTCATGTGCAGTAGTGGAAACCTGGTCATCATCAAGGCTGGGCTTCGCGAATGAAGATTTAGGAAGGCTCTATCCACATTTGTTACAAGCACGCTGGTGGCTAATAAGGCCAGTATGAGATAGACATGTCCGATTGCAAAAGGCACAGCAGAAAGACTCCTTAGATGGTATATTCTGCAAGGCACGATTCTTTCTGTGTTGTCTTTTCTTCTCGAGAGTGATCCTGCGTGCTTTCTCAAAGGAAGCAGCAGCGTTATAGATGGTGTGTCTCCAGACCTCCTGATTGGAGGCCAGAGTAGACCAGTTATGATGACCAATATGGTCAAGGCTGAGATGTTGTTTCAGGGAGTCCTTGTATCTCCTCTTCGGGGCTCCTCTCATGCGGCAGCCAGCGGTAAGTTCACTGTAAAGCAAGATCTTAGGGAGGTGGTGGTCCTTCATCCTGGAGACGTGCCCTGCCCAGCACAGCTGTGGAACCTGGTAAGGCATCCTGAAAATGTACTCTGTTGTCTCAGTCATCTGAGTCCTGATATCATGCACTCTTCTGTGAGGAGCATAAACAAAAACCTATGAAAACACACCAAAGTGACACTCTGTTGTTCACCAGTGCTGAGAGCCTCAAAAAGGTACCACATATCCCACAGAAATATTCAAGGAACATTCACTCCCTTTTAGCTATAATGTCTACCTTTTTCAGTCAAAGCGTACTCTTAATTAAAAGCAATTCACTTAGCAGGGTGTAATCTTAATAAACTGCCAAATGCTGAAACAGTAGAAAACATTAAGAAGTGCTAACCAATTCAAAGCCTCCTATTTTAGACAGAAACCTTTCACTTGTCTGTCTATGGATTAACTGGACACCTAACTGCTAGCACTGAAAAAATCCAGTGTAGTACTCACAACTAAGAAAACAAGTATGTTTTAGGGTTTTTTTAATGTGATTCAAACACTCCCTTGAAGTAATTAAAAAAAAATTACACACTTAAACTAGCTATCTGAAGATCAAAAAAAATGGGACTGGCCAGAAAGTAGTTTGATGAGAAAAAGTAAGCGAAAACCTGGTCAGTTCACTTTCTAAAAATAACTTGCTGCTGCAACTTAACAAAAAATCTTGAGTTAAAAATTAATAACTTAGTTTGGACAATTCTGTTACCTTCAACTCAGACGTACATAGCTTTTAGGATTAGTAGCTTACCAGAAATTTCTCTCATTTCTACTGAAATAAGAGAAAGCATTTATATTTTTTCTACCTATTTCAAGCAATCATTTTCACTGGGAGTAAAAAGGACGATGAAAACATAGCAAAAAGATTGGAACCTCCAGCTACTTAGGCATCATCTTCCATTAGGTATATTCTTCTCAAGTGTCTGAAATGGATCTGTCTAATCTGTCAGTGTTACCATTTCCATGAATATTGGTGGCACAATGCATTACCCTGCAACACTGAACTAAAATGCATTATAATCAAGATCTAGATGTGTTGAGGAAGATGCATGATCTCCAGTTCAGAAAAAAAATATCCACACTGCAGGTGTTGAATATACTAAGGACAACACTGTTCACTGTTTTATTACCATTTGTAAAGAAGTGAAAATTTTAATCTATTCTTATTAGTTTCAAGTGGTGCCTGAGACAGAAGTGCTCTCTACACATGAATATTTTAGATGTTTAAAGAATTTGTTTTTAAAAAGCAAGAGAAAGTGTGTGTAGGAATCTAACACCAGCCCCTTTCCAATGTCACTCCCACTTTGAGGTAAGACTTGCTTTGCAAAATGCTATTTAAAAAAGTTCCTCCACATTACTTGCAATTATCTGTCAGCAAAACAAACCTCTTCTTGACATTTAACAACAAAGACTTTTTTCCTTCATCTAGGTCTTCAGAATATACAGCTTCTTTTTTTGATAGAGTGAAGGGAAGGGGATCATCAATAGTTGCTAAATTCCACCCACTCTCCCAGCTGAGAATTACCAATACCATTGCTTCCATAAAGATAACCCAGAAATAAAATTCACCAGAAGAATGAGCAGAAAAGCAGCCATGCCAATGATACCTGCTCCCTGTCAAGAGTGAGTAGGCACCTCAGATCTAAGATTAAAAACCTTTTCATTAACACCACTCTACTCCTCCACATTGAATAGCTGAGAGGTAAGCAAAGTTAAAAGAAAGGGATGGATATCTGACCAGAAAATGGGCATAAGGCTTTTGGGAGACCCTGTTCTCTGAGTCAAAGGCTCCATGGCTCACTGTTGATCCCTCATGGCAAGTCCCATGCCTGAAGGAATGCTTTTTAAACAGACTGGAAAATGAATAATGATCTCTGGCACAAAAAAGCAAGACAGCTTCACAGTTTCATGGATTTGCAATGAGTTGGATTTGCAAGTGAAGATAAAATCTTTAAAAAAAAATAAATTAAGGTTCACATAAGAGTAATGCCTTTTTATAACTATGAAATTATTTTGAATTCATCTTTCACAACAGAATGAACAATGCAAGCATGCCATTGTAAAGCAATCAGGAACACACCTGTAACTTTACTTCTTTATCATGACAGTTTGGAATTTATTTATTTAAATCCCACATTGTGACACAAAAGCAGTAACAAAATAGCTGTAAACTACTTCTGTTACAAATATAGATACTATGTAAAGTGACTTTACATATTCTAATGTAGGCAATTCTCACACTATACAAGAAATAAGTATAAAAGAGCAATTCAATAACAGCAGCATCCAGTAATGGTACCATGTGATTTCTTCCATCTTAGCCTACCACAGTGTAACTTCTAGAGCAGTTAAAAAGACAAAGGGGTGGATTTTTTGTTAATTCGCTTACACTTAGCTATCAATTTGGTAATACTATTTGACAGACACGTCTAATACTGCTTTTGTGACCCCATTAAAACAAATGCTAGTCTTTTGTATTCTCCCATAATGATGGCCTGAGCATTGCCTGAATTTTCAGTTTGGATTTCTCTTAAATGACAATTGACATGGTGGCCTTCTTGCTACATTTTTTTGGCTAATCAACACAAGGGATCTTTCTGCTGATTAGCATGCTAGTTAGCTAGGTATCTTTCTCCCTCAAAAGACTTAGTGAAATTTTTCTGCAGGAAAATAAATCATGGGGAAAGCGTGCTTTATCTGCCAGATTCCTAGAAGCAAGGCAGGCAAAGGCAGGCAGGTAACAATCAGCTAAGAGCTTCATTGAGTGCTACTTTTACATAAAGTTTTAGTGAGGAAAAAGTGATACATTTACTGACCACACTGCTGAACAAAGAACAGCTCCATGGTTGCATTGTATTTACTAGACACATCTTGTATTTGTGCCTCTAAAATCAATATCCCCAAAAAAATAGTTGTGGCTCTCAAATCTCTTCTGCTTATTACTGATGCAAACGTTCACTGCTCTCTTACTCCTCACCTCCACTGGGAGGAATTTTCAGGCCTTTACCCATCCTCAGCACATTAGTCCTGGTTTTATGTCTCCTCAGTTCAAGGAGGACTCTACCTTTGCTGCCGTTGGTAACGGCAGCAACACCGTAACATCAACTTCTTCCACACTGGCCTAAAAGATATCCAGACATCTGTCCACAGCCAAGCAAACCTGCTCTGAGCAGTTTGTTCACAGCTCTGATTCATGCAGCTTGAAGAAATGTCTGCATTGAGCCTGTAGTTAGTCTTGCATGTTGGAAGAGAACAACCTTTGCTTACAGATATTTCATACTGGGAAGGTTGTTTTCACATCCATATACACTAGAAAATACTACTATTATAAAAGTCTAGTTCTTCTAATACTGCAGTTGCTGGGCATTCTCATTCACCAGGAACAGTTTCCACTAGCACTGAATTTTTTGGCCCTGAGTACAAGTCCTCTCCTTTTGAAACAAACACACAAGCCTCAGCCCCCTGCCAAAAACCCACATAAACAAAACCCCCAAACCCAAACCAACAAATGAGAAACAAACAAAGCAATAAAACAAACAAACATACAAACATCAAAACAAAACAAAAAACCCCTCAAATCTAAGCCAAAATGAAACACAGTTTTCTCTTTTTTGGGCATACACCATGACTTAGGAAATTAAAACATATAAACAGACAAGCAAACTAACCCATCCAAGTACCCACCCAGCCCCTTCTACTTGATCATAGAATGGTTTGGGTTGGAAGGGACCTTAAAGATCATCTAGTTACAAATAACCATCTAAGTCCATTAATAATCAGCCTCCAGATTACATACTTTTCCCTCTATCCCCCAAGTCTCTATTTTATTAGTACTTTTTTTCTTCAGTAACCTTATTCCTGTTTTCTGATTACTGCTACCCATGCAACCCCCTTGCTGACTTCGTGAATTTGTAATTTTTCCAACATTATACATGTATCCAAAGTCTGTTAGCAAAACATTTCAGTTTTGTTGTGTGGTTATTAACGCAAATATTCTTTTTTCTTTTTTTCCCTGTTGACTTAATAATAGGAAAGATATCCATCTCTTTACATAGCTGACATAACTTCATCCCAGTGGCTTGACAGTAAGAGAAGTACTTCTATTGTATACAGAAATATGGTTAAATGGTACTTTTCTTCAGTGCTGTAACCCAGTCCTGTGAATCTGGAAGAGCAAGAAGACTATACAAACATTTCCATTATCTTTACTAGGTGGAAAGTAAATAATACAGTCTTATTGACCCTAACCCTTCAACCAGCCAGTTCATGACAATACAGTCAAAGTGACTGATCCTTTTGTCCTTTTCAGAATAGCAACTGCTTCCTCATGAGTCACCCCTTCTAAGCTCTGCCCATTCACAGCAATGATCTGATCCCCCCTCTTCAGGCGTCCATCTTCTGCTGCTGCACCCTGAAACGATACAACACATAACTGCAGACTCATGCCTTTCTTTTTCTTCCTGACACACAGTCCTTACGGTTTAAGATTGGTACAGTGTACAAACCCCTTGAAACATTTTTGATTTTCAGTGATTCCAATACAGTCAATTGTAGTACAACTGTACTACAGTGCAGTCGTCTGCCCTGCCCTAAGTTTCACAACATCTAGAAATCAGACCTACAGGGTTTTTTGTTCCCTTAACTCTGTTTGTCCAGCTAGTAAAACATTTAAACCCCGCTATCATAGAATTAGCATTTTCAAGACCTGAGGAAGTTTTCAGCAACTTTTTTAAGAAATTCAGTCATAACACCCAGCTCTACACTCTCATTTACCATAAAAATTTGGGATTCTTCATTCCAGGTTTCTCTGACTCAGGGCTGTTTCCTATGGCAGTCCAAACTATTAAACTCAGGTTAGTATCTGAACTACTCCAAGGGTCCAATCTAAGTTCAATAATATAGTTCCCTCTACTACCTGAAGAAAACACACTCTAAATATAAGGCAAGGGAAATGTTTTTCTAAGTATGTGCACAATTCCAGTTTTGAGACGTGGAAAAGACTGCCATATGCTGGATCACATGTATTTAGAAATTCTGAATCTTTTGAAGACTACAGCTTTCAATTACTGGAGGCACATTTTGACCAGCACTTACACTAAAAAGGAAAACCTGTAACAATCTTTTGGCTGCCAACTAAGGCCATGATTTGGTCTGAGTGAACTAATAAATGGACTGACTGAACAAACCTACACCTACCTTTGCAAACACTGTCTTCACATAAATGGGTAAGTCTCCATGGGGACTGCCGTAGCCACCCACAATACTAAAGCCAAGGCCGTCCGGTCCTCTGTCCAGAGTAATAGTCTTGTACTGAGGAGGTCTAAGAAAAGGGAAAAGAGTATTGTGATGTTGTCTGAACTTTGGATTTAACATGTATAATATTTCTTTTATGCTAATCAATACATTTCCCTTTCTACTCTAACTATAAATACTTTTATTGTAATGAACTGGTTATTTAAGTTTGTGTTAAACACTGTAAATGTCTAATGCCTATATTATTACGTAAAAGTAGCTACCTCAAACACAGAGCTCAGGACATAGTTATGGCTGCTATGCGCTTACCAGTGAAGTACAGATGCAATGGTAGTACCTCAAGTTTCCATAACATCTACTTCAAAATTAGCGCCATCAGTTTATGTTATAAAGTTTGATTGCTTCTCTCTTCCTCTAATAGATAAACATGTATTTGCATGTACATGTTTATACATATCATCTGTAGGTATATTCCCCCACATATACTTCGATTGTATGAAATTTTGAAATTTTGAAATTCTGCCTTTCAAAGTAGATACATGTGGCTACAGAACCCTGTTCTCTCTTTGCCTATTCCTAAAAGAAAAGTGCCTCAGATCTATGACAGAGATTGAGGCAAAATTGTTTACGTAATGTACCTTGCAAGTGTATTAGATACTCATGATATCCAAGCACTAGAAAGCACGTTACGGAAACACAAGTACTATGGTGGAAAGGGACTTTTTCTGGTGTATCAATTAATCCCAGCTACTAAATCTCAGTGAAACAATGGAGAATGTAGAAGAAATCATATTGCACCATAACTCTACAGAAGTTCAAAAACAAATTGCAGCATAGCAAATCATATAATGAAAAATGCAGAAGAGAAACACTGGCCTACAGGTGCCACGTAACACCAGCGTGTTAATCATGACTGTGCCAACCAATTCATCTATTATTTGCTAGAATTTGTATGATTTTTAGGTTGAGTTCCATCTAAAACAACTGGCTACAGAAGTTGTATATTCTATAGTTACTGACCCTAAATCATCCTGAAAAATGCCAGTCGAAGTTAGTCCTGCAAATGAAAGACTGGATGTAGGTGGATCCTGCTGCTGACCAGTTATGACACTCACTTCTCCTCCAGCTACAACCTAGGAACAGAGTTCATAAACCAGTAAAATAAGAATGCTGACACTAAAATAATTCATTGTAACAGCTGGTAAAACAGTATTCAGAAGGTATTCAAAATGTCACTAAAGATTTTTTACCTGCAACTCAATAGTGCCTGAAGCATTTTTTAAGATATTAACAGCTTGGGAATGAGTCATGCCCTCAGTAGATGTTCCACAGATGCTAACAATCCTGTCCCCAACCTACAGAAGAAAAGGTAGAAAATCTAACTTAGTTAGACAAACAGATTTATTTGTCACTTCTTTCAACAAGAGCAGATATTTATTTGCATTTAGCCAGATTTTATCAGTAATATACGTCAGGAAGAAAGAAATTAGCAACTGTACGTTCACAGTCCTCTTGTAGGCAAAAAAAACCTTTTAACTGCGAATAACCCAATACAAAAGTGGGAAAGTCAACATCAGAATGAGCAAATTTCAACAGTTTAGTGTATTCAGTGTAAAAAAGTAATGATGGTTTACAGAATTGATCCTAACATTCTAGAAATGCACAGCATGTAAAAAACAGAGATGCATTTTGCATGTCACCTGAAGATAGACTCAAGTAGCAAATTATCATCAGAGATTCTGTGTTTGAATTCAGCTTGAAATAACACTGTCCACTTTCCAGGAGACCTGAGTCAAATTCAACTACGTCTGATACAGCTTGGATACAGTACACATTCAAATACAGTATCAGATAGGACCTCCCACTTTAACTCAGAACCCAAAAAGCACTATCTCTGTAACATAAAACATACTGCGTACCCACAGCTGCAGGAACAATCACCACACAGCAATAGCACTCGCTTACAGAATGCATCCTTCTGAACCACTCTCTACGCTTTTAATTTTCAGAAGCTGACTAATTCTAAGATCCAAGATTGCTTTAGGACTTCCTTTCTTAAGTTAGTACATTTCAGCAATTACATTTTCCCATGCTACCAATCTGAGTTGCTGTTTCATCAATTCAAACAGCAAGAACTCTTGACGCAGCCAGAAGCACTTATGACTGTATCACCCAACTGCTAATTTATTGCCTGTCTAGAGTAATTACTGTGCATTAAACATGCAATTTTTACAGCCTTCTTAAAAATTAACTTACTCTTAGTTTCTGAGTCTGAGCTGCAACTCCGTTTGGGTGCATCATGGCAATAAATATAGGAACATCTCCAAGAGGACTTCCTACACCTCCAGCAATGCTCACTCCCAGTGAATCTGCAGGGCTCTGTTACAGTAATGAAAAAAAGATAAGATTCTTCTGGAAAGAAAAACACATACAGAGAACTTTACACTTGCCTCAAAAAATCACTAAGCACCTTGTCTCATGAAAATCAGAATTCCTGTGTATCAAGCCGTTTTTTAAGATAATACGCTTTGCATCACTTCAAGAAAGCACGGAGATCACATGAGATGTTTCTATTTCTTAGTGGTAGGTGAAAATTTGCCAATTTAGTTGTATATTTTATTAACTAAGTAGAGAATTCAGCATCAGTCCCTTAATTCAGCATAGGAAGCCTGAGCAAGGAAAATCGAAGAGATGAGATTGCTGTCCTTAGTATTGTCTATATCGACTTCCTATCATGAACCTCCTGAACACTAGAATTAAGCTTTATGCTCCCCCTAGTGCCCCAGTGTTGAAGAGCAAAACCAGCTGTTTACTACTGCACCACACCTGAATACCTCACTGGAAAAACTGATATTGTAAAACTGGTATTTACAGATTCTACTGTAAAAGAAAATGGCTAAAAACAATCCGTGTAATCAAGTGAACAAGATGCCAGGCAAAGTCAAATAAATATAAATATTTTGGACCATAAGAAGCCACCTGTGACTAAGTTCACATGCGTAATGAAGGTGACTGAATTTCACAGTTGAAAACCTCACAGTTGTATGTTTCATTAAAAATATGTGTGCAGAAAAATACTAAACACAAAAAAGCAGCCTTCCAACTTTCTCTGACTTCACCAAAACAGAGTTTGGATTTAACTCAGTCTGGTAATAAAATTAGGTCCCATTATCTCTTAGTAAATCTTCCCTCTTTTGCTTTCAACACAGCTCACAAAACGTGACAGAGTAAGTCACACTGATTTTACATAAAAATACAGGCAGTGGAGATCATACAGTCCTGACCTAAAAGGATAGACAAATTAATTTCTATTGCCATATCAATTCCTCTCTCAAAACAATGAATAGGTCTAGACTTTCTTTCTGTAAAGAAACCTACTGACAACATTTACAACATCTCTTCCTGATATATACCACTTCATGCTATAACTTACCTTTTTTATTTCAACTGTTCTTAGTCCCTGTATTTCAGAAGCTGCTGTCAAATGAATTAAAATAAATTTTAAAAAAAGTTAAAACTAGCATTCCTAGAAAACTTTCCTAATAAAGTTATCCAAACCATTATGATGATTCTAACTTTCTGCTGATTTGTTAGATATATTTTAAGCCAATTTGAAAGTGGCTGTCATTACATCAATTGGATTGAAATACCCCTAGAGTAGGTGAGAGAATCAATCATTTTCTCCATTCAAATAACATTTGGAATAAAACTCCTCAGCATGCTCAAATAGAATAGGAAAAACTAATATTTGCTAGCAATACTTTGGTCAGAAGTAAGTTTGTTCTACATTTAAGCATAAGACAGCTATTCCACATGCATTTTCATGTAACTATACAGTATTTGGATTTTTATGAATGAGACAGCTTGACTGAAGACGTATTTAGATTAAATAGAAAATTATGGCTCAACTTAGATTCTCAGCTGATACAAGAATTTGCTAGTTTCTTTTATAAAAAGGTATTACAATATGTATGTGTGATGTACTGAGCAGTAACTGCCCCTGCCATTTCAACTACTAAGGAATCACTTTAAGGCCTACATCACATAATTTACAATATTCTAGAGACAGCAAAAGATCTCAGCTACTAGTTCACATGTATAAAATACTGAAAGTACCAAACCCCCCCAAACTTACTGGTATTCTTCTTTAGACCACTTTCAAAGACCTCAGGTGCACTGGACCCAGAAATGGGGAAACTGAATGATGAGAGACTGCCACTTCCTTCACTGACCTAAACATAGTATAAGACTGGGATTAGAGAGCTGCTTCTGTCATACAATTAATAAATGTAAAACTGTAACTAGCTGTATTCAGTGTATTTTCTGCTGTATTTTATTTTTTCTGTGCCCAGGTAAAGCTGATACAGAGAACATCCACATATTTCTTGGTCACTCTAGAGGGCTCTTTAAAACATCCTTAGACCAATTTAGAGATTTCATGTTTATAACCCCATGCAAAGCTTTGAAGTGCTGCTTCCGAGGGCATGACTAGGCCATTATATTTGCACCTTCTATCATCTCGCAGAGATCTTCTAATGCAAGTTAGCCATAATTATCACAGTAGGGACAGAACACAAAAGACAGATCTTTATACATTCTCAAATGTACTTGTGAATATTCACCTACTGCATCAGCTAAAATTAAGACTACGCTCTCCACTCAGCTTCACCCACACAATTTCCAGAAAGATATTCACTATACCAGCAAGATAAGTAAAGGAACAACATGGTTCCTGGCCAGACTAGTTAGTTCACTGATTGTTACACACTCTTCAAAATGTTCAGTATTGTGAGCTTCATCTTAGAATAAGACCAGACAGAGTCTGCATGTTTTCATCTTGTTTGACAGTACCCATTTTGAAGAGAGCCTAACATTTCAGTCTTATCCTGTCTAACCCTGCTCACTTGAAACTGTTTAATTATGATTTGTTTTAAAACTATTTATCTTCAGTACTTGAGATTTGCATACTCAGTTTACAACCAGAAAAAGTTCTAAGGTAACTTGTGAGCTCTCAGAAATGTAGCTCCTACTGAAGAGAATGACAATATGAGCTGCTACCACATGAAAAGTTATTTCAAATACAGAAACTGATGTGAGTTTGTAACACTACAAAATTAGCCAACAATCAAATAAAAAAGAGAAGCCTGATGGAAAGAGTGGAGGTTTCTTGCTTCTGGTGAACAAGATAATAGTAAAAACATGCAAAGAATGGAGAAATTCACTAAGTTTACTGGAACAGTATTCCACTGCAGGCAGGCCAAGCACTCTGAAAGTAACAAAGAGGTTGAACTAACTTCTTCTGGTATTGGTAAGAATTGGAGTTTGATATGCTGTTCAGGCTGAAGCCTGGAGTAAAGCCATTTCTGGGCTACATTTTTAGCTGGATCCTGTCTATATCAGATACAATATGCTAAAGTGAATGTATAAAAATATGTTCCGAAAAGTTGCAGAATTTTTCCATCTTGGATCAGGTATGTGGAAAACCATTGTCATCATAAAACCACTTCTTTTTATTTGCTTTCATTATTTAACCATTATTTATTCCAAACTAACCAGTTTTACAGTTATATACCTGGCTGCTCTGGGATGTTCTTCTCTCAGAGTGGAAGGGTCCAGCTTTTATTCTTCCGACCTCTAGTCTTACTGTACCTAAGGAACACTAAAGAACCAGTCACTTATAACACACATCTTCTGTCTACAAAATTAAAGCCTACAACAATATTTAAGTCACTTATCTGACAGTAGAATAAGAAAAAAATACAGACAGAGGGGAGAGTGACGGATTAGCAACTCTGAAATGAGTCCTTCGGAGAGTCCATGGCAGGACCAGAGACACACAGACTAAGTACACCATGATATTCAATACTGAGCAGGGTATTTTTTTTGGATTAACCTGTATCACAATGCAGACATGAAAATCACACAACAAGACTAACTCTGCTACTTCACAGAGTACCTTAATAAGGAGTAGTTCTGTCTTCTTGCAATGTCAACACCTATTTTCAAGTTGGCACTTTTCAAGGAATAATGAAACGGACCATTTTCACAATAAACACTAAAACCAGTGTAATATCTCAAAGTCTTAATCATTATTTCTCTTTATATGACTGAGAACATGGTCTTTAAACTGGAAGTTACTCATCTCTCTCACACTTTTGAAATTATCTGTTACTTTGGATAGACATCAACACAACTAAAGAAATTTTGGGCAGGAAATTTTCTAAACATCTACGTGTAGTTTAAGTGAACTTTCTGCATCTGACTCCCAGCAAGAAGCTGGGTAATATGGACTGATTGCACATGGTAAAGTCCTTTCACTACTCTTTAATCTTTTAATTATACTGTCAAGTATCCACATATCTATATAAATAGCATTTCTTAGAAGGAAATTCTATCAAATATTTAGAAACCAAGACATTATTTTGAAGAGACAGACAAGTTATTATCACAAACAAGATTTAGAAAATTGAATCTCCAAAATAATGTAAGTAGTGTCAAAAGAAGACATCTATCTGCAACGTATTCAAATACAGAAATTTCAAAGTTTTGTTGCTATTCTGCTTTTTTCTTTCACCATGAAGTTGTTAGTGTGAACTTCTGTATACCAAGAACTTAATATAAGTTTGCCTTTATTTATCATGTTTTATCTTTATTACCTTAAGAGAGGATCATGTAATTGTCAGAAAAATTCACAGTAATACACCAATATGTCAAAAGCAACTGGACATATCCATTCAAACACGGTTTCCGTCCCTCATTTGCTGTTATACTCTTAAGAGTTGACACTAAAAAACATTTATTACTAAATTGCTTTTTATTTTAAGTTATTCCTTTTTAATGTTGACTTCTCTATGTCCTGGAAAAGACTTGATCAAAGCTTGGGGAAAACCATTCTTTCCTGCTCCTATTAAACCATACGGACAACTTTTATTCAAAATGGAAAAATGGCGAAGTAATTTGTGTACCTAAAATTACCACATCCTCACATAAAATGTAAACCCACAAATCAGATTTTAAAATTACAATGTCATACTTTCCAACTGAACTGTGAATAAATCAATTTTCATTTAGTTTTATTACACCTTCCCTTATTACTGTCTTCCTGAAATCTCCTATTCGATAAATCCATAAGTCAAGTAAGTTGAAAAACTGATAGTCTTTTCACATGTTGTAGGGACACTTCAAAAGAAACACTTCAAGAACTGGTAAAATTCTCAGACTTAAAACACATTCTATTGGTCCCATGCTACTAAAAATACACTGGAATTTCCCAAAGATTATAAATAATTTTCTAGCAAAATACATTTTAGGCAGTTAAAGAGAATTCACTCCTAGGTCTCATTCTCATAAATGAAAAGAGAATGGATACCTGAACTGGAAACGGTGACTGCGCTTCATTTCATTTATACTGTGTGAACAAAGCCATTGTTAACAATAATCTGTCTAAGGTATTTTTAAAAGCTTCATTTCTCAGGGCTAAGACAATTAATTACAAGTCCTACTGAGCAGGATGAAGTATTTAAAACATGAATATATGAATGGTAAGTGGGAACTAAGCATCTTCAATTAGATACTCCAAATGCCTGCCAAAATGAAAGAAACTTTCCACAAGAAATGGCATTTTTATTTAGAGAAGAGCTAAAAGTACAGTGTATGAAGAAGTGTAGTGGTTTGAACCTTGTTTTCCCCCAGAGGCTGAAAAGTGGTAACCCCCAGGGGTGGAAACCCCTGGAAGTTTTGAAGTTCTGCCCAATGAGTGCTCCTGCAGAAATGTAAACATATCACAAGCACCGGAAGAGAAGAGTTGTAGTTTGGGTAGGTAGAAGAAGTAGCCATGTTGTAGTAGCCACGAGGAAAGGGGCCCGGAGCCCCTCGGGGCCTCTGAGCCGCCCCCCCAGCCCCAGCTGGGGGCTGCAGGGACCTGGAACAGCATAAAGCTGGGCTAGGTACCTGTAGTTGTGAGCTGGGAGATGTTTTCTCCAAATTGTGCAGCGGCTGGAGAAAAGCAGCAGCCAAGCTGGCACTGACCGGAGAAGCGGTGGCAGAGAGCCAGAAGAGATAAGACGGAGCAACAGAGACATGCAGCACCGCAGAGAAGACTCCTGGAAGGAGAGTTGAGGAGAAGAGAGCCCGCAGCAGAACTTCGGAGTTCTGGGGGTAGGAACTGATACCAGACCCCCCCAAACCTGCTTTGAGACCTCCTGGAAAGGAGGAAGATGATGGACTCTTACTTGAAAGAGCCTTGAAGTGCAGCATGCACTGTAGAGAGGAGCTGAGAAGCTCAAAGGCGTCCTGAAGCTGGACCGGGATGGAAAAGGAATGCGGGGGGGTTGACCTTGGCCCCCCTCGCTGCTGCTGCTAAGCTAGCAGCCTTGAGACAGCACGGAGCTCTGCAAAGGGGAATTTGAATCCCCTGAGGAAGGGACTTTCACGAAGATGCCCCTGCATTTTGTGATATACCTGTGGTGACGCGAGTCTGGTCCCTGCTGGCAGCCCACAGGTGAGGCCTTCGCTTGGACCGAAGGAGAGCCGAGGGGCTTGGAGACCCCCTTGTGTGTACTGAACAGAGATCCAGCTACAACAATCCAGTTACTGCTGCATGCATGAGATGAGGAGAACCTGCTGCCTTAGAAGGAGCTGCTGCCCTGAGAGACTGGAAGGGATCTGTCTTTCTTTCCCTCTTGGACTTTTATTTGGAGGGGAGAGGAGATCTGATCCATTGTAAATACTATATGTCATGGTAGAGATAGTTGTGATTTTGTGTATAATGTGTTATAGTATGTATTTGTACAGTCATTGTAATATATTCCCTTTCCCCCATTCTGAGTCTGGTTGTGTTTTGTCTGGAAAAACCCATCTCACATTAGGTTGAGATGTGGGAGGGGGGATGGAGCTAGGGAATTGGATTTTGGGCTGTGTCAAACCATGACAAGAAGAAACAGTGTGTTCTTAAATAAAATAAAAAAAGTATCAGGTAAGAATGGAAAAGTACTATTGCCACAGAATAATACACTAACAACTTCATTGTCACAACACAGACTTAGTTCTGGCATTCCCACTATTGGGCACATGCTGAAAATACAGCAGGGCTGCTACATCCCTCTTACTAAGCACTGCTCTCCCCCAGGACCTCTCTACCTCAATAAAAACAAAAACTCAAGGAACTGTTCAAGATCTGGAAAAATATACCTTTGAATGAGAGTGTTAAGAACCATGACTGTGTGCCTATGTATCCAAGAGACAGCTACAATTAGTGTCTGTCAAATTTTATCCAGTGGAACAGTTTTCCTTCGGAAAATGCTGACTCAATGGAATCCTTACCATGCAGCATATGTCTCAAAACTCTGGACTGAAAAACAGATGAGCTGGCTGACCAGCTGGACTTCCTGCCAGATCACAGAAAATGCTGTATGTCTGACTTCCATCTAATTTGGAAATAGGGGAAAGATATCAGAAGCACAAAATCTATTGAGAATAGAAATTCTGATTCCAACAGCTGCAGATATGAGTTTACTTAGTAAATTCTGAGAAAGCAATTCCTTATACTAAATGCCTTGGTCACTGAGAAATACACTGTAGTATTTAATGGATGTGAGGAGGCACTAGACAAACAGAGTTAAAAAAAGATTAACATTATCAGGTATCACAGAATCATAGAACTGTAGAATCATAGAATTGTTTGGGTGGGAATTAACTTTATAAAGACCATCCAGTTCCTACCCATCCTGCCTTGGGCAGGAACATCTTCCACTACACCAGGTTGCCCAGAGCCCCATCCAACCTGGCCTTGAACACTTCCAGGGATGGGGCATTCACAGCTTCTCTGGGCAACCTATTCAAGTGCCTGACCACCCTCACAGCAAAGAATTTCTTCCTAATATCTAATCTAAAAATTTCTTTCTAATATCTAATCTAAATTTACTCTCAGTTTAAAACCATTCCTCCTTGTCCTATCCCTACAGGCCCTTGTAAATGAACTATGAAAGTAATCACTTTTGGCACAACTACTCCGATGAATTCTCAGTCATTTAAAGTCAGTTCTGAGTATCCTTCCAAAAACGTGAGATAGTTAACTAATTCTAAGTTTGCTAGAGAAAATACAGTGTTAATTTTAGGTTCTTCTGGGTAATGGTCTTCTACTGCCCTATAAACATATGGCATTCTGTACCACCACCACTCCCATTTTCATCAGGCAAAGTATCAAAATCTGAATGTTCTAGATTTCATGACGCTCACCTCACTGACATTCCAGTAACAGCCTGAACTCAGTCTGAATAAAATTAAAGCTTTCATAAAATCTGGACCTCAATTTTTCACTCTTATCCACCTTCTCTTTTGGCAATACCTTTAGCAAAGCTGCAACAGCTTCCTGGTTAGCATTTCGGACATCTTCTCCATTCACTGTCAATATCTGGTCTCCTTGCATCAATCTTCCATCTGTATCTGCTATTCCTCCTTTGACGATGTCTGACACAAACACGCCTGTATCATTTCTGCAAATACATACACGGATTTTGCATTACAGCATTGTTTGAGGGTCATTTTTATGGCTTGCTATTGGGAAGACAATAAACACTGTCTCATTTTGCTGAGTAACAATGGGTTCGTTCCTTTAGGAGAGACCAATCAGCTTAGGTACAAAATCGATGTGTTTGGCCTTCAAGCCTGTGGGATCTGAGCACCAGATCATAACAGAAACATGAGCATGCCCAGCAAGTTCCGGACATTGACTCTCCAGTTACATTACTTACCTTTTCCCAACAATACTCAGCCCAAGGCCTTTGCCAGGCTTCTTCTGAAGCTCTATATTGAGCACATCATACATGTCTTCCTCCTTGTACTGGGCCTCATCTCTGTACACAGTAAGACGAACCTTTTGGGGAGTCTGACGGAGGACATTTATGGCTTCGTCATGTGTGGCATTCCTGAGGTCAATTCCGTTCACCTGCAATGAAAGCATACAATGGCAAATTGTGTAGCACCTTCCAGCAGACAAACAGAACAGACCTTCTGTTCAATGAAACAAAAGTGACTGTATTGGGTTTGCATAGCCAAGTTTTGGTAGCAGAGCTGGGGCTGCAGGGGTGGCTTCTGTGAGAAGCTGCCAGAAGATTTCCCCATGTCTTGTAGAGCCAATAACAGTTGTCTTCAAGATGGACCCACCACTGGCCAAAGCTGAGCCATCATGAATGACAGTAACACCTCTGTGATCACACATTTAAGAAGGAAAGAAAAGTTTTGTGCAGATGAAAATTGCAGCCAGAGAAGAGCAGAGTGAAAACATGTGAAAAACTCTGCAGACACCAAGGTCAGTGTCTGCACTCACCCCATGGAAAAATGATCTACATGGGAGCAGTTCATGGGATGGACTTATGCTGGAGAAGTTCATGAAGAACTGTCCCCTGTTGGAGATGCCCCACAGGAAGTAGGGGAAGGACTCCTCTCCTTGTGCAATGGCAGAAACAACAACTGACTGTAACCCCCATTCCCGTCTCCCTGTGCCACTGTGGGGGAGGAGGTAGAAATTGGAAGGAGGGGTGGGAGGAAGGTGTTTTTAAGGTTTGTTTTACTTCTCATTCTCCTGCTCTGACTCTATTTGTAAAAAATTTAATTAATATCCCCACTTTGAGTCTGTTTTGCCCATGATGGTGATCAGTAAGTGATCTCTCCCAGTCCTTAACTCATGAATCCTTTGTTATATTTTCTCTCCCCTGTCCAGTTGCAGAGGGGAGTGAGAGAGCAGCTTTGGCATCCAGCCAGGGTCAATCCACTACAGCAACCAAGGAAATTGCCATACCTCTAATATCTGATCCCCAGCCCACAGTCTCCCATCTTTAGATGCTGCTCCTTCTTCATATACTTCATGGATAATGATTGCTCCCTGTGGACAAAAAAAAAAAAATTAAAAATTGCATGTTGCAAGAAAATACCCTATTTTGAAACAAGAGCAACTAAAAATTCCTACTATAATTTATCAATGATAAGCACAAGTCAGATGTATGATGAACAAATATTTAAGAAGTTTACGAAGTTTATTTATGAATCAAAATACTTCGGAAGTTCATTTATACTTTCAATTTTAGAAGTGCTTTTTTCTTTTTTTTCCCCCTAAACTGGTTCCTTTGTGTCTTTCTATAAATGCTATAGAAAAAAAAGACGAAAAAAATCTCTTCTATCAGACACTTTAATTTCATTACTGTTATTTCACTTGAGTGACACACATATTTTTCCAACCAACCAGCAAAGTGTCTGCTCCTCCAACAATGCTCAGACCAAGACCAGTCCGCCCTTTGGAGATGTCAATGGTTGTTTCACATCCAGGAATGATGGGACAAGTAGCTGGGTCGGAGGCTAACATGGCTGGAGTCGAAGATCTGCTTGTGTCTAAAAAACAATTAAACATTCTGGTTACAGTAAGAGGGCTTGGTATTAGAAAAGTGACTTTAAAACAGCATTTTTCAGAGCTCATTGACAGCTGTACACCAAGAGCTGACCCACAGAGAATTATGCTGGCAATTCGCCCTTCCCCTCAGACAAGTACCGTCCTGTAGTTTTATTTACAAGTGTCCTGTTTTCCTGCCATCAAGTACCTGGGTCATAGTCCGGACAGACAAAGAAGATATTGTACAAATATATTCTATTTAGGATACAATTTAAGTATCTATATGATATGTGCATTACTCAAGTTATTAACTTCTTAGAATTGCGTTGCTTAACCAGTAACCTCCATCCATCAGTAACATCTTGACTCTCCACTCTAAAGGAGAAGAATCAAATGCAGCTACTTATAAATGGCAAGACAGTCTCAACCATCCCCTTTTCCTAGGAAAAAATGATATGACTTTTCTCTGTCATTTTAAGGAATGCCTCTCACTTAGTTCCAGACAGCCATGAGGCACCTGCTGCCCAGTATTTAAGAGGGAGGAGATCCATCCCTCCATTCTTCTGCCTCTGCAACAGGCTAGTGGGAAAGTATAAGGTAGGTCTTCAGGATGGTGGCACAGTGTTTCTCTTAGAGGAACATGTAATCCAAAAGTATTAAAAAATGCAACTCACAAGACAGCTGAGTGCATATAAAAGGAGGAAATCGACAAGACAGGTCTTCATTTTAAGGCTACAACCTCAGTGAAGATAAGCACACAAGAAAAACATTACTTTTGACTGCTTCTGGTTCTGGTGAGCTGGAAGCAGGAATAGTTGCTGGAGGCTGCATATTCCTCTTGTCTGCTGGGGCAGTGCTGGAAGAGAGTGGTGCTGCAGTCAGGTTATCCAACTCTGCTGAGTTGATTGTAAGCCTCACTGTAGTTTTGGATGTCTTCAGAAGACTTATAAACTGAAAAAAGAAAAGCTGATGAAGAGTGCAACTGGATTGTTCAGTTGCAAATCAAAAATAAAGCAGAATAACTGTTCTGTAAACTGGAGCTACCAGTTACAATGCTGAAGGTTTACTTGGCAAGGAACAAAGACAAATATTGATGTTTTTTCTGAGAAACTTTTCTCCATGAAACTTTGCCAAACTATATCAGACGAGAGTGAGGCAGACTTTCAATGTCCTCTCTGAACAAAAGACTTATTTATAGCAATTATTAGAAAAACAGAAAACTTTTAATGCTGGATGGAGGTCAATTCTGATCTCACAGAAGTCAATATCAAAACATCTTAAAGAAATGTGCTACTGCCATTCTAGAAGGAATATCCAAAAGTATTATCTGAACTATGGGAGGGAGAGAAGGAAACCAGGGTGTAACACAAAATCTAGTTTAAAGAGATACTGAAAAACCTTCAAAATCAATTGCCATCTCACAGAAAAGACACCAAATCCTTCTGAGACTTAACATTTCAGTAGAACTATTTTCAGAAATTACTTACTCAATCTCTCTGTTCTTCCAAAGCCTACCTACTTGTCTACAGACAACTTCACTCTCTCTTACTTATTTACTGCTTCAGAGATAGCAGTGCATCAAAGAGTAAGATTGATGCTTTCCTAATTACCCTTTAACAAACTGAAAGTAATCTACTCATGCCTAAAGAATCACTTTTCTTGGTAGCAAGGCAAGTGCTAGAAAAAACCCTTCTTGATTCATTACAGAATCCAAATTGAGTGTGCAGAGCTAGAAGTTAGAAATAAATCTTGTTATTTAGGAACAGAGATATGTTTCTCCAAAGGGTTGAAATACCAGGCTTGGAATATAATGAGGCTGTTACTGCAAACAGTCCCCTTGGATAAGCACAGTTCATGACCTGATTTACGACTGACACAACTCACCCATGTAAATTTACACATATTAAATTTACTAGTTCTAATACTTTTAAAGTGGAGTAGCTATGCAGAGTCGTTACTGAGCAATAGTTCGTGGCTTTTATTGCACTACTAAGTGCCTCTCAGTCATCAGGTCTAAACCACAGAGAAAATAAAATCAGATCTGTAGCACAGAGATAGATGATTCACGTAGTGAATGAATGTAAAATAACAGCTGAGTTTTAAATTTAGACTTTAGCTTATTCTGCAGTAGTTTCCTTATCCAGATAGTGCCTGCAGATCTTTGCTTTTTTAGCCAGCTTTGAAAATTAAGTCAGAGTACAGTCATGAAAACCTTGGTGGTTTAAGATACAATCACTCCCACATTAAGCAGTGTGATTTCTGCAACATTCCTGACACTTCAGAGGCACCTTTTCTACAGGATATCCCACAACAATCTCATCATCCACTGCCAGAATCTGATCACCAACTTTGATTCGTCCATCCTGGAAAAAACATAGAATAAAAAATATGAGCTCTGGATGCTACTTCAAAAAAACATTTTTCATTCCCTAATTGAAATTTAAATATTCTCACACCTTTGCTGCTGCACCATTATCTGTTAAGCTCTTAATAACTACTCCATTAATCGTGTCTTCTTCACTAATGGCAATTCCAAAACCTCCTTGATCCTAGGGCAAACAGAAAAATGCAAATGGTTAAGTACTGTGTATATCAAAATGTCAAAATACATTCACTAAAGACTAGTGAAGCCTGCTGACATAACAAAAGTTAGGTTTTTCACAATGCATCAATATTGTTGTTTTAAACTAATCTATTTCTGAAATAGGTTCCACCAGCCTACAAACAGTATACTGGCTACCAAGATAAATCTGACTACTTCTAAATTCAAACCCACTCCTTCGAAACTTACAAGGTCAACTGCGATTCAGTTGTTATTTTGAATACTTTAGGCAATGATTTTACCCGAGGAACCACCAAAAGTTTTTCAAACAGAACAAAAGAAGACTTCTTCCAGAGACACAGAACAATTGGCAAATTTATGTGAAGTTAAAGCAACCCAGGTCTCAAAGACAGTCATTATGTGAGGAAAACTTTGGGGTCCATTCACAAATAGGAAGAGAAGACCTCTAGAAATCTAACTTCTAGTAACTAAGAGACAAATTTTGTTTCCCATAAGAGGGACTCTATTACAAAAATGGAGGCTAGTGAATACAAGCGTGACTGATATAAATTTAATTTTCATCACATACCTTAGGGAGTTCCACATACTGAATGTTTTTACATGAACTCAAGTCAGAAAAAGCACTAGAGTTTGCAACACTTCCATCAGTCTAAAAGAAAACGAAAATGTAACTGTAAGCAACTATATCCAACATTTTGCATCAAAATAAAGTAGCTCACAAACACTTATAGTGAGTCTGATAATTTTCTAGATTCATTTAAACTGCTATAATCCTATCAGTGGGAAGTCAGACTTACTTCACAGTATAGAAGAATATAAAATGAAACAAAATTGAGCACAGATGTAATAAACTTAGTAGCCCAGAACAGAAGAAGAACTTTGTCCTTCTGTTTCTTTCATGGTATATTATAAGCAGACAGGGCACTCCTCTATCCAGAACAATGTTAGTATCTTGGTCAAATAAGAAAAACAAATATTTACTTTACCTCTTGATGTTGAAGTGTCCCTGAAGTACTTTGTGAAGCATCTACTGACTTTGCAGGGCAAACAGCCATCTGATTTACTGCATCTTTATTTCTGTAACAAATTGAGTTAAAGAATGTAGTAAGAAGGCAGTAATATACCACGATATTTCTAAGGACAAGTTTAGGTCTAGTGCTTCATTTTATCTTATTTCTTGTTCTAACAATAGAAGTATCAAAACAAAAAACTCCAAGGCATATTTAACAACTACTTAGATTGTGATCAAAAGCACAAATACCCTACCAAAATTAAACAAACAAACAAACAAACAAAATCTCTCAGTAAAACTTGAGCACATTAAAAAACAAACCTTTTTAGCCAAACTTTTACCAGAACTTACCTGATAAAGATCACTTTTACTTTAGATGGTGTGCACTTGATTATTGAGGAAGCATTCTGATGAGTCCTTCCATAAAGTATCTGCCCATTTATCTAAAGAAAAGTAGCAATTATTTATCAAAATATTTTAACTACTTATATTTAAACTAATTTTTAAACCTTAAAAAAAATCATTCATTCCACATTGCTTGCTAAAGCAGCAACTGTATTAAAATAAGAGAGTATGTTGTGTCCTGCTTTCCCTCCCTTCTTACAGTAAAAATATTCACTACAGTTTGATTTCAAACTAACACTGTCACAGTGCTAAAAACGTCATTCTCTGAATTATACTGGGTTGACATGGCACATCATCTATTTTCACTTACCATTGACCACTTCATGACTGATGTGGTGATAAAGCAGGGCTATGGGAAACTCTAACCATAACAAATATTGAATTGCTTATATCCGGGAATGAGATTGCTATCATTTATTGAATCTCAGCCACTTTGAATCCCTGAGCAAGGTACTTTACACATAGAGGTCTGAACACTGGAACATTTAGCAGAGTTTTAAACTAGATTTGGTGGGGGAAGGGAATGTACTTTTGTGTGTCAGAGAGGAATGAGGAAACACCAACACTTTAAGAAGCAGTAGGGAAATACTTGTAAGTTATCTCAAAGGAATTAAGAAGGGTTCCTCTCAAAAGGTGAAGAGGTCAATAGCCCAGCTCAAGTGCTTTTACATCAATGCGGGCAGCATGGGTAACAAGCAACAGGAACTGGAAACCATGGTGCAATTAGAAAACTATGACCTAAGTGCTCTCAGAGAAACAGGTGGGATGAGTTACACTACTGGAAAACTGCAATTAAGGCTAAAAGCTCCAGAGAAGAGAGAGGTTGGGAAGGAAGGGTGGGTGTGTTGTGCTCTGTGTTAAGAAATGGATAGACTGTGAAGAGCTGCCTCTGAGGAACAGCCACAAACAGGTCGAGAGCCTGTGGGTTAAAACCAAAGACAGGATCAACGAGGGACATCGTGTGATTGGTGTCCACCACAGGCCACCTTGGTCAGGGGAGCCTGTTGACAAGACTTCTTGCTTCAGATACAAGAAGAACTGTGTTCACAAGCTCTCATCCTGATAGGGATTTCAACCACCCATGTCTGCTGGGAAAGCAGCTGACCGCAAGCAATATAGGAGACACCTGGAGTGCATTGAGGACAACTTTCTGGTTCAGGTATTGGACACACCAACCAGAGGAGAAGTTTTACTGGACCCCACGCTCACCAGTGTGGATGAGCTCATCAGAGAGATTAAGACTGGAGGCAGCCTGGGCTGTAGCAACCATGCCCTGGTTGAGTTACTGATCTCAATGAAAAAAGGCCAGAAAAAGAGCAGAGTTAGGATCGACCCTGAAACTTAGAATACTGAAATACCAGCTGTTTAAAGAATTAGAGGATGAGATTCCCTGGGAAACTGTTCTTAAGGACAGAGGAACTGACCAGAGCTGGCAGCTCTTTGAGGACACTTAGAGCACAAGTGTCCATACCCATGTGTAAGAAAACAAGCAAGGTAGGTCAGAAACCAGCATGGCTGAGCAAGGATCTGCTCTTCAAACTGAAGAGTGTAAGGGGGGTACTCTAGAATTAGATGATCAATGGAGCATAGAGGCGTGAGAAAGTAATTATATTAGGATGTGAAACCAACCAGAGTATTGTACAATGTAACTTTATGGCACAAGTTAACTGTAAGGTCCACTGCATCTTTTTAGCAAGTCAACTAGATGTCCCCTATTATCAGAGCTGAGTTCCTCCTTGGCTTAGCTCCCTACTGCAAGATGGATACAAATATCCTTGAAACACAATGCTAGAGGTTGTACACAGGGGTGAGAAAGATGACGGTGAGAGGAAGATTACGTGGGCAGGGGTCGTTTGCCCCTTGCCCTACAGCAGGGCATGTGCAGACTGTTGCCATTAGGTAATGAACAGGCGGTGTTTGGCTGCCACACAAGCATCCCCTTATACTGCGTACTGGCCCTACGTGGTGTAATGCAGAGCTGATAAAAATGGGGTGTCAGGACTGCTGAGCTGAGCAATACTTATCCTTCCATCGAGACCGTGTTGCTCCGTGGGGACGCCCGCTAAGCA